ACACAGATGTAAGGAGATGGAGCAGGCAGACCACTTAAGGAAAACATGGGAAATTTAGATTAGAAGATAGTAGTTCATAAAGTCAGAAAATTAAGCTTTCTTAAAAATACTCTAAAAACCAAAGGCTAAAAACTCTAAAAACCAAAAGCAAATTAGCTCTACAATAGTAATATACTAGAACACTTTATGGTTTCCATCCTTACATGGCATTAGTGCTGCTGGCAAAAATCACCCTGCCGGACTGCCTTCATGAAGATACCATGAACCACAAAAATGGGTCAGAATCGTCAATTCTGACTTCTCAGAAATTCTACTCAAGCTACAGTTTCAGTCAGCAGGTATGAGGCTTTTTCCATGCCTCTCCCATTTACTTCATAAAAGCAGATTAATACTCCAAATTTGACTTCCTACAATGAGAACTGTGCATGAGGGAAGCAGCTGACAACCACCATGACAAAGATGAGAAGGAAATATAAACGTAGTGAGATTCAACACAAGCAGCAAATCCAGAAAGAACTGAAACAGTAAACAAAGTAGAACCCAATGTTCAATTCACTGTTTTATTACACTGGGAGAAGTTGGTGCTATAAACACACTCTCCCACATCTGGGTACCTGAAGCACCAGTGAAGTTGCGTAACCTGCACCCACACAAAACTGCCACAGAAACCAATCACTCAATGAGCTCCTATCATTTAACAATCCCAAATGCCTTAGCATTCATTCTATGCTTGCTTCTGAACATGATGTTCAAGCAGACGGTGAATATGCCCTGAAAACTTCAGCACAGGGGAGTAAAAGCAAGGAGGCAGAAAGATGAGAAAAAAGCTGATGAAGCAAAGCAAAAAATCCAGTAACCTTGCAAGTCTGTGAAGCCTCCAAAACATCAGGCTCTTTGCTTTGATCCCATGTTCTGCCAATAAATCAAAAAAGCCCAAGAACCCATTGCAGATTTAGTGAGTGTTTCAGGGCCTATGGAAGAGTCAAATCAACTTGTGATGTTTTGCTCTTGTATAATGATAAAAGCACTGCTACCCTACACGGCTCTCAGCACAGCACAAAATGGCAGTGCCTACAGTCTCTGAGCAGCTCCTTATCCAGACAACACAAAAGCCAGAAGAACACTTGTGCCAAGGATAATTAATATGATCATATTGCATTACCGTCACTGTAGTGATACTGGGCAAATGTTATGTTGCATGAGGCTTTACAATAATTGGGCAGTAATCAGTGAAAACATTAAGTCCCTACTTTACTACTGCTTCATCACTAGCTATAAAATGACATCTTAATAAAGAGCATAAAACTAAAAAGAACTGAGATTAACAAGGCGTGTTATGGCAGTTTAGAAGTAAAAGTCATTTTAACAATGCAAAACAGAACAATACTGTTTAAAAGAATGAGCAGAGAAGATTTACTATTCCCTATTAAAAAAAAAAAAGCAGCTACTCCAAGAGCCTGGCCTAGTTACCATAGTGTGTGTGTCAAACTGGCAAGCAAACCACAGCACCTCAATGCTTACCAGAAAAGCACTATATCCTGGATTGACTATAGCACTGTTGGCCCCTAATTAGACAACCTTGCATGGACAATGCTAGCCACTAAAAGGAAGGAAAAAGAGAGAGAGAAACACCAGAAAATGTTCTGGCCAATATTCAGACATGAATTTTGACGGTACAAGTAGGTATATTTATGGCAGAGTTCAAGAATGATCAGACAAGCCATTAGAGGATGAAAGTGGCTCCCTCTGCATTGTTTTTATCAGGCTTTGAATACATCACCTCATTTTTAGAAGGGTTCTGGTATCATGTGCAGTTATCGTATAATTATTACAGGACTGTGATTGCATCATTAGCAGAAGTTTAATTATATCATTGACATTAGTGATGCCATAACATCAAGCTCAATAATAGTTCATAACAAAACCTACAATTAGCACAATTTTTCCTCCCTTTTACACCAACCAAAAGTGTTCAGCTTGGAGAAGCCTAATAGTCCATACAGAAGTGAGCTAGGGCTGAACCTGAAAGGATCGCTGGCTGGTAATTTAGTAATATGGTAATTAAAGTCTTTTCATGATGTAATTACACATCAACTACAAAAGGACAGCTGCTATACAACACTGTCAGGGTACGTGGCATGAAATGATTAGATTTGAGAAGCTTTGGTGGTTAAACTGAATACCACAGGCATCAGTCTGAGGTATATCTGGCACCGCATAGCACATTATTATTCAAGTCTCATACTTGGTGTTTCCTTAGTCTCATTATGATAGTAACAGTTTGTTACACATACCTTGGTCCTACCACAGCAGAAGCTGTTCAAAACCCAGCTTTAAAAGCTGTTTTGAAGTTGCCTGGAATTAAAAGACCTAACCTTCTTCTGGGAAGAAGCAGTATACATAGAGTTTGCATGAACCCAGAATGTTTATTTCCCATCCCTGCAGTGTAAAACATTCTCTCACAGACTCCTGTCTGTGGGAAATGTAAGTTGATTTATTTGTAGGCTTTTTTCCAGTGGGGGAGTAAAGAGGGGAGAAGAAGAATGAGGACAGAAAAGAGGCACAAACGAGTAGGTGAACTCAAGCTTGACTGAGGAACTAAGGGTTTTGGCATCTATTTGTAACAGCAACAAGCAGAACCCCCCTGGTTGGGTGAAAAAACAAACCCACTCTTCTTCTCAAGAGCAGACTGTTTTTAAAGTAGTTTCCTTATTGTATTTCTCACCACCCCCATCTGTATCTATACAAACTATGAAGCTGACCACATGAGGCATGACACAGCAAAAAGGAACATATTTTTCCAACTAACACAAATAAAACTTCTTGGCTACATGACTGGGCTCTTAAAAATACAGGAATGCACTGTGCACCCTGGCAGTAGGCAGACAACCTCAGAGCTGCTTTTCTAGTCCTAAAATGTCCTTTTAGTGACGAGGAGCAACTTAGATGTTTTTACAGCAGATGTTTTATTTTCTTCCCCTGACACAAGGGAAGTGGGGATTTCATGGAAGAGACCCTGATCAACTGATCACCTATGCTTTAAAGCTTTTATTTTCTTGGGCTAGAAAATCTAGAAGTGGGCTTATTTGAAAGATTTTGGGAATCCAGAGGATTCTCCTCAGCCTGAAGAAGGTTTCTGTGAGGTCCATTTGGGAAGTGCAAAACCAAACAACTTGGATCTGGAAGGACTCCAGATCCAAACACTCCTACAAGATTCTACTCATTCCTACAAGATGTGAAAAGTGAGTAGAAAAATTTGAGCCCTGGTTCAAACAACACCCACCCTTGCCAATCACTCCCATTCTAATTTCTGCTCTTTCTCTTTTTCTGAAGAAATGTTTGGGATGGGCTTAATGAACATTCAAGGCCTCTTGAAGACTTAAATGTCTTTGACTACATTGGGCACTGGTGCGAATTCAGGATCACTATCAGCAAGAGTTTCTTCCCGTTGAGTATCAGAGACTGCATGGAGCAGCGGCTGCTCTTGGGGAACTGAAAGCAGCCTGTCCCAGACTCTTCAGAACAAAGATTTCAACTACTCTGAAGTAAGTCCTGTATGGCCAGTTTCACACAGAACACTTTTGAGAGACAGTAAAGCAATTTAGCCAACACAATGCAAGAGACTCAACTGTACTTCAAGTGCAATATCACAAAAAAACATGATTATTTCTAATTTAATGGCAAGAAAGATAGAATGCAGTGCAGCTAGTAGTTCTGATGACTGGAGAGGTGGTCTGCTCAAACATGTTTGCAGCTACCCTCTGTGAGGACTCAATTGACATTTTATGTGAAAAGGAGGTTCAAATGTCACTTGTCAAGAAGAATTCAGTGAACAATATGCAATATATAAAGCAAATTCAGCACCGTAAGAACAGCTATTCACCAACATGAAAAGAATAGGAACTTTATGCACAAACAATATAGCTGACTTCCTACACAGTTTAAAGCAGCAAGAGGCAATAAAAATTTTAGGTTTAAACTACAACACTCTTTGCTCAAGTGTCGCCTCTGTAAGTATACATACTACAAACATGAACTGTATATGCACAAACCTTAAACTCAAAAATGCATAACCATAGCAGTTTTCACCTGAAGACAATCTGGTTTGATACCTTTGCAGACTGTAATTACTCAGCTGTTAACTAACAGAATACAACAGCAGTCCTTATCATGTGGGGAACTACCCTACCTAGCCTGTCTATGCAGAGCACTGCCAAAAGAGACGCACCAAGGTCTGAAGTCTTGCAAGAATAGCCTCATTATCCCTCTCTGATGGTGGTATTGATAGAGAGTGAGAGAGAGGAAAGAATGCAAATGGGAGATTTCCAGTATGCTCCTAGCTTTAGATAACTCTGAAGACGCAGAAAAAGCTCTCATCACAGGTCTTCAGGTTTCCAGCTTCAAAACATAACAAAGCAATAACTGAACAGCAGCATTCAGTTCTGGGAAACTGACAAGTACACAAGCCAGAACAGGCCAAAGTAAAAATCCTAACCTGTGATAATCTGTCTCCCTCCTCTCCTCCCCCACTGAAAGAGTAGGAGCCATTTGCTCACAGATGACTACTTTCAATTATAAAAAAATCTAAGAACAAGGTGGCCTATTAAGGCTACTGACAGGAACCACGTCTTCCGACTGAACCAGTCCAGCCCTACAGCTGCTCCAGATGCGGTCATCTTGTCGGTGTTCAACAGACAATTCTACTACGCACCCAACATCTCTTCTGTTTCAACATCTCTAGTCTTCCCACTTCCCTGCAACAATCAAGTCATTCAAAAACTGCAATAGGGCCACAAGTGTTGTCAAACTCCCTGCCTGCAACCACCATTCCACAAGATACTTGAATTTAATCACTGCATTAACCTCTGTCAGAACCATTAAGTGTCCAGACAAGAAACAGAATCCTCTTGTGATACTGTTTGCAACTAAGGAACTTGGTAATAGCAGATCTGGAGAATTTGAGGTGATGGAACAGTTTGGGAGACACCACACTTACTCACCTGCTATCACCAGCGTTTGCCACATAAAGCTTCCCCAATAAATACACCACCACAAGGGCTGTGCAGCCGCCAGAAATATTATACACGGTCCTCTCTCGCTCTATTTGCAAATCCTATGGGAAAAGAGAACAGCATTTATAAAGACAGCATTGGAATTAATGTTTTAGGAAATGAAGATCCCCCTAAAAAAAAGAAAAACAGAGTCTGTCTTAAACGACACATCCCACTGGTTTTCTTTAACATTGTAGCTTTGGCCAAATGGTCAGGAGGAAGAACAGAAAGTCAAGGAGTACCCATTACTTGTGATACAAAGATGTTTGAGAAAATTAGGACAGGAGATTGTAAAACATCAGGCACCAAGGAACAAATGGCAACTCCGAGGGATGCAAGGGAATTTGCTACAGAAAAAGCACAATGAAGGCAAAGATAAATGGACCTTAACAACAGGTACCTGGTAGTATAATTGGAGAGTGATTTGCATAAACAGCAACTAATTAATGAGACCTGGCTATGACATGAATAACTACCTACTCTCCAAAAGGGATGCTAAGACTGCAGAGCATATACCTTTACAAACAACAGCAAGACTCGTGCCACAAGGGTACCCTTCAGAAACAAAGGGAACTGGTGGATGCTAAACTTGTTAAGGGAGTGGGAGGGGGGGAAGGTCAGCAGAGCAGTATTTACCAAAATACACTAGGCATTCACAACCTTTCCAGGATGAACCCCAGTATTTAACCATATGTCTCATCTCATAGCTTTTGTGAGGTCTTGAAAAGACTTCTTTGTGCATGTCACAGGCCCAAATTTAAGGAGGCACATACCTACTCAGATAGCTCTTCCTGTGTTTAGTTTCCAACTGATTATAAGAAATATTATATATAAAAAAGTCCTCCTGCTTAATAGAAGTGGAAAACACAAGTCACATCTGTCGTCCACAATCAATCAAGTCCAGGAGTGAAAAAAATACATTAATATATACGTACAGATATATATATATATATATATAAAACCCTAGGAAAGCTTGGAGAACACAAAGGACACGTAAATGAGCTGCTTTCCAGTACTGCATACATTTTAAACAAAAACTGAAGTGTATGCCAGTGAACTAATTATGCTGTCTCTTAGTTTAGTTTGGGGTAATAACACAACATGTTACAAATTACCCTCCTCTCCTGTGTCCAGAATCAAATCCAATTTCAAACAGACTGAAATTTGTAATATTTGTAATACCAGATACAAACAGGGAGCATCGTTTAATATTACTACTGCAAAGTACTGGCACATCTCTTCCAGCTAAACCCTGTTTATTTGTATGTGGTTTTTATTATGAATGTATTTGTTTGCCTCTGTGTGTGTATGCAGTATGTGTGCGAGCTATACTTCAGCCATTTTCATATTTGCACTGAGCAACAAACAGCTCAAATTGTCCATGCCTTGGGGTATGGGATTTAGAGCTTTATTTCAGAGCTAAATTTATCTGAGGAAAAGCACCACAACAAATGCAAACCATGACAGCTGCAATTTGATTGAAAATCTGCAGAGTCGGAGGAGGGCAGGGACCACGCTTTGTTTCCTATAGATTTCAGGGGAGAGAGGCGACCTGGGGCAGCAGCGGGCATCCTTGGGTCGCTGTCCTGAGCAGGCTGGACAGAGGTGACTCTCACGATAACGCAACTCCTCGGTGGCTGGGACTGATCCCATCTGTGCCATGAATACAGGACTGAGAAGGACGGTGTGGCAGGGACAGCAAGAAATGCTCAGTGCTGCCCAACAAGGCCATCCTCTGCTGCACAGGAGAACTGCACTCTGCTGCAGAGAAACTCAGGGTTTTACTGACAGCTCTTAACCCACGCTCTCATTCACTTCCAGTTTTGCCTTTTTTTTCCCCCCTCTTTTTTTTTTTGAGCGAGAGGTGGGGACAGTGAGGACCAGGAGAAGAACTCCAAGCTAAAAATCAAACCTCGCAGAACCTTTGGTCACAGACATGGGCCTGTTATAAATGCCCCTTTATCTAATCTCGCCATAGAGAAGCCGATTTTCCTGCCCATGGTTTCTATATATTTTTAAATTAAGCTGAAAAGAGCAGTTCAAAGGAAGCAGACATTTCTAGCCATCAAAATAAGTTAAACTTACAAATGCTACAGTGGATTTTGCAGGCACTGCCAGGAATTTTAAATAACTTTCCTCTCCGCAGGTCAGAGCATCCTCTGAGACCTTCAAGCAACGCACAATTCCTCACCTGGTTTCAGATCTGTCACACGTACAACTTTGCAAGTGCTGGAATGCCTATATTAAAATTTATTTCTTTCAAAAAGCAGAATTCAGAAGCATCAATTATAGGAGAGGAGATGGATAACCCATAGGGCCTCATTCTCAGTTTCTTTGACTTAAACTAGAACTGTGTACAGGATTTTTCTTGAATCATTGCTGTTCACGGGATCTTCCACCTAGTTGCTGTTCAGAACTTGAATTTATTACCATGGCTTGCCAGCGTATATTCACTGCCACTTTTAATTTGATAGTACAGACTTGGACATTCCCTTTCTTGTGAGGAGGGGAAGAAGGGAAGGCTTTCTGACAGCTCAACAAGATTTCAGGAGAAAAATAAACCAAAATAACAGAAAGCCCCCAACACCACTAACTCATCCTGATGTAGAGACATCGGCTTTTAAGGAAACACTTTATAACAGCGCTGCTAGGAAAGCAGTGCAGCACAAAGAGGGGCAGAAACCCCAGAACACCTCTGAAGTCTTTATGAGTGTAAAGGGGCTCATTTTAGACAACGTCAGAGTGCATGTAAAGCTTTCCTCATTTTTCACCTGGAGAAAGAATCCGGAGCAAGCTTTTTCTTTGTTTGTTTCCCCCCCTTTTCCTTTTTCCTCCTCTATTTTGCAGCATGCAGCTCGTCCTCACACAGCAGTCTGTGTGCAGGGGAAGAGCTGAGCAATGCTGGTCAGAACCAATGCACCTTTCACCCAAAGGGCAGGATGTACCGCTCAGACAGGAAAGGAAAAGGGGAAGGAAAGAAAAAGCTATCATTTTACACCAAGGAAGCAGGTAATATAGTCTGTGCTCTGTCCCCCTTTTGAGTGTGCCTCTTATAGTGGCAGGTAGGAGCAGGGGGCTCACAGGGGTTGCCTCGTGCATGGTGCCCCTGGTCCGCCTTCCCTGTGTGAGGGAGCTTGGGAAGGATGGAGCAAAGCCTGCAGAGGACACCATGAAGCGCCAAGTGGTATGTTTCCGGAGCTGGGATTGCTTTCCCCATGGATTACAGAAGCAGCCTGAGGAGGCGGTGTCAGGGATGGGACAGACCATCCCTGCTGCCTGGACCCCTTTTGGTCTCCCCGGTGCCTGCCTCGCTAAGGCTTGTACCGGGGCTTAGAGTGAAAGCACGGAGTAATCCCGCCACCTCCTCTGAAAGAGGTGAAGGTTACGGCAGGAAGCCATTTACCATCTGCTCTGCTGGAGGCTCCCAGGCCCTCGATGGCGGCCTGCTCGTGCCACCTCGTGGAGGCCCGGCGGAGGGGCTCCGAGCTGCGGAGCGCAGTGTGGTGGGCCAGCAGTCCTCAGGCTCCTGAGGGACCCCAGCTTCTCCTTCCCCTGTCTCGACCCACGGGTGTTGGACACTTGAAGGGCACTGGGACGCTCGCACCGGCAGCCTCAGCAGGGCGGGCTCCTGTGCCGGAGCACAGCTGATGCAGGCGCCGCAGCGGTGAGGGGAGGCAGCCCGAAGGCAAGCGTGGCGGCACGGAAAGTGAATGCCAGGTACAGATGGTGCTAAGTTTGAGGAATTTAGAACCTCGAAAAGCGAACTGGGTACATTCAAATGGCAGTATCATCATTCAGCAAGTTAGCATGCCGCAAGGACAACTAAAATAACTCTTTTTCATCTGTATGCACCTCCAGAGTACGATCCTTTCCTCCAGGATCTCAATCTTGCTACTTCCTACACACACAGCATCATGTATCTGCTTAAAAAAATATATATATTTTAAAATCATGTTTCAGAAGGCATAAACATAAAATTAACTCCTTAATCTGCTCTACCTCTGCCTAAAAGGCACCAAACTTCCTGTAACACCGTTTCAACCCTCCTCACTTCTACTGGTTATTTAATCAGAGGAAGCTTTTCAAAAGGAAAACTGTAAAACGTATGTTGCTTTCCCAAGACTGTCCAAGTTAAAGTTGTGCCTGTATACATTTCATCTGACTCAAACTCAGTAAAGAAGAAAATCATGATGCAACATATATGAGCGTACACCTTCCAATAAATCATACAGATTAGTTCGGTGCCGTTTTTACCCATCCAAAGTTAAACTGGGTTCTGTGTGGAACAGGTGCTCTCTCCCCTTAATCTTTCTTTAAAATACATACTACATCATGCACAAGCATACAAGGCTAAATACAGGGAAGGGATTATTACAGTTTACTGCTTCTATCCAGTATAGAACAGCACTTGGAAACATCCCCCCTGGCTCCCTAGAACTGAATGCATAAATGTACATCTTAAAACTCAAGAGAGTAAAATTAAAGGATTTGGCTTGTGATACCTTCAGAACTTGAGCTTATTTTTAGTTCCTTTGAACTGGAATAACTGTGACCACTGATGATTACTGACACCGAGCATTTTTTACTTTTCAAACAGGACAGTAAGTTACCCGAGAACACAACACAAACTTCCTAATCCCAGTTCCGACACAATCAGGGAACACCTTCTAAAGAACTTCAAAAAGGGGACGGTTTCAGTGTTAAATTTCTACGTTCAGCAGTGACTCGGTCTGTGTCAGCAGTGTTTGCACAGTGGTTTACTGCATGTAGAGCTGTCAGACAAGCACTGTCTAAAGGAAACCACACCCAATGAAGGAAAATTAATTTTAAAATGCCTTTTGAAAGGGATGAATTGCATTGTATTTGAGACTTGAAGCAGAACGAGGGAGAACTTAACTAGAACTCAAAAAGGCAGTTGATGAAAAAAGTAATGGCACGCTAAATGCTCCTAAGAAAAGGGGACAAAACCTTCCTTAGATAAACCTGTCAGGTTGGAGTGTTTAGAAAAGGAAAATAAATCTGTATTTACTTAGCATTTTCACCAGGTTCAAAGGGCTCCTTTGCAGTGATGGGTGTTTCAGGAAACCAGCAAGAAGTCTGTGTATGTGTCCAGGAAACACGAGCTTTCACCAAGTGCCAGGTCAAAAGATACACTCTGCTGGCACAAACCCCCATAAGTTATACACAGCTCAAATGCATGGACCTAACTCAACAACATCCATTTACCAAAATCTTCACCCGAGGACTACACCTAAAGGAGTATAAGGAAGTCAGAGGCAGGAGGAAGATCAATCATTGCAGACATAGATGAGACTCAGGAATGTTGATCTTATGAACTGCTCCCTTAGACAACCAAAGAAAATACTCTTTTGGCTAAACCACCTGTAAGCACAAGACACCCCCAAGAGCTTAAAGTAGTATAATTATATATTGCTTTTCCTAATCTGATCATTTTTTTATAATGTTTCCTTTTAATGTAATGTAATGCTGAAATTATATTAATGTAATGTAATGCTGAAATTATATTGCATTGTGGTAGACACAGAGTCATTTATATAGAATCACAGAATAGTTAGGGTTGGAAAGGACCTTAAGATATAGCAAAGACAGACTGAACTTCAGCCCTCTGATGAAGATCGTAAGTGGGAATTAAGGTATATGGTCTGTAGCATATGACAAAGACACAGGGAGAAAAATAAAATACTCTCTGGACTTTAGTTCAGAAAAAAGTAGAACAGATTACTATGACCTGTACATGGAATACCCAGACACTGTAACTGCAGTGAGTTACCCAGGGATCCTGCATTTGTCATACTCTTATCTATAAAAGTCCACTCAAGCACTCAGGTGCCTGGACTTGAGCTGAGATGATCTGTGCAAACACCTAGCAATGTGAAATCAAAATATAGCAGGGCAATAACAAGCCCTGCTCAGGAAGTTAGAGATGGGTAATGCACATACTGCTCTTAAGAAAGACACAGCACTTGAAAAGACCCTTCTTTACCTCTTTTACAGTTGCTTTCCAGTCCTATTCCTCATCTCTCCTGCAGCTGGAAACCAGTTTCAACAGGGGAGAGAGAGTCACATTGGCGCTCTTCTGGCCTGAAAACCACCCCAACTGAAGCGTGAATTTGGTGTCCCCTTCTTAAGTATGCTCTGAGATGGGCAGCGTCCATCAACAAAGAAGGGAGCAAGCTAGTCTTCCCTTCCTGAAAACGGCATGCTAAACTGACTGGATCCTCCTCTTTGTTTTCAGCTAGGAGAAACTGCCCACCAGCCGCAGTGCGTAAACCTGCTCATGTGCTCCACACTGTGGATCCTGCTTCTGGACCTACCCACCTGAAAGTCCAAACCCAGTTGGTGGGTCTGTTTGCCTGCACTTCCTTGGGGAGAAAGGACAAGCAGCAAGGTAACTGCTATTCAGAATACAAAGTGAAGCACCACCTCATTGCAAGAACTGTAGTCTCTAATTAGATGCATGCACAGAAGATGATTCATATATATTAGCAAAACCAACAACTGAATACTTCTTGTCAGACAAGAAATAAAATCTTTGGGAGATACTCTTTAGTTCAAAAACCCTCTGGTCAAATAAGAGCATTTCCTAAAGCAACAAAAATTAAAAAAAAAAAAAGAAGAAAAAAGAAGAAAACAAGATCAGATCTCAGGCAATACTAGTTTTTATCTTAAAAAATATGGGAAAAAATGGGGTGTGGGGGGGTGGGGAGTGTGTGTGGTGTGTGTGTGTGAAGAAAGAGAGCACCAAACCTTTAAGACTCAAGTACTCCACAAATATGGCTGTGGTGCTGCCTAGGACTTCAGATGCAGTTTCTGCCTCACAGGGGTGTACCAGGTAAACTATTGGTGCTCTTAAACAATTCTGTCCACACTCAGATGGTGTTTAAGTGGGGGGGGGGGGGAGAGGGAAGTGCAAAAAAAAAAATCCCTAAATGTTCATTTTCCCCAGGCCATGCAACTCATTAACAAAGGCAACAAGGTCTTCAGAGCCCTGAGATGTACATACCATCTCCTTGAATGCACTTTCTATGGCCCCAATAACCAGGCACTCATGTGGGATCTTCTTCTCAGTGAAGAAGCGTGTTGGAGGGGTGCTGGGCGAGCCCGGTGCCCCCACACCACCACGCAGGGAGGCTGCTCGTGTCAGCGTCCTGCTGTTGGTGGCTGGATTGTCGGGCTCCTCTCCCAGGCAGGTGGGTGGAAGGACAGCGGTGTTCCTCAGGATGTCCACAATCTCCTGCAGCTGCTCCAGGATGTGGTGCTGCAGCAGTTTGGAAGCCACCACAGCTGCCCCCGATCCAGCATGTCCATCAAACAGGGACCAGTAGTAGAGGTTGATCCCATCCGTGTCCTGGAGGAGCAGGAAGAAGAAAGGGAAGGAAAAGGAGACGGTCACCATTACAGAGTTACATGAGTGAGGTGCCTGGTGGCACATGCACAGCAGGTGGAACACGGGTAACCTTCCCAGAGGTAACCTTTCTGAAATGGAGAAATGCCCACTGTGTCAGTACAGTTCTGGCAGGAAGGACAGATGCTTATTTTTGCCACACACACACACCACTTTTTTTTTCTTTTCCTTAATGTCCTAAAAGACCCCAACAAAACAACCAGAAAAATCCCCCTCTGAACTTGTAATCTTTCTTACCTTACAGCCATCACAGCTTGCACTGACCAAGAACAGCTACGACTGCAAAACTAAGTTAACTTCCTAATGACTGCGTAGATCAGAAGAAAAGCATCTAAAAATCACATCATTGATAAATGATAGATTTACCACCATGGAGACCAAAATTCCACACAAGACAGCTCCTGATATTTGTGTGACAGACCTTTTCTTTCAGTAGGTGTGAGACAAAGGGCCTCAGTTTGACAACTAGTAAAAAGATGCGATCCCCACTTCTGTGACTGGTAGACATGGTCCATCCATGCAGGCACATGGGACAGCTGAGGCTCTCCCTGCCTGTGCCAGGCTGGGAACCAGCACAGCACACAGATCCTGGAGGATGGTAGGCACAAGTGGGATCATCAGCATTCCACATGCTAGCCTAGATGTTCACATCATCATCCTTCACAGTCCTCTTAAGTTTCCTGTACAGTACTGAACTTACATACTCTCTGATCAGAATCAGAGAATCATTTAGGTTGGAAAAGACCTTTAAGATCAGCAAGTCCAACCTTTACTCCAGGACTGCCAAGTCCACCACTAAACCATGCCACTAAGAACCGCATCTACACATTCTTCAAGCACTTCCAGGGACGATGATTCCACCGCTTTCCTGGGCAGCCTCTTCCAATATGTAATTACCCTTTTGGTGAAAAGATTCTTCCTAATATCTAATCTAAACAGTTCCCTCAGCCGTTCCTCACAAGATATGTGCTCCAGGTCCCTCACCAGCTTTGTTGCCCTTCTCTGGACCCAAAGAGCTATACAAGTGGTTTGGTATAGCTCTCTGCATAACATTGTGCTCTTAGATCTTATATTTTATCTCAAGCCCTAGCATGTCAGTCAGTACAACTGCTCTCATACAGGCAGAGTACCTGGAGAAAGCGAATTTTGTAGACCTCATTATTAAAATTCAGGTATATATGGTAATGCTATATATTTGTTCAGCAGTTATTGATTAATGCTGTGATTCTCAAATATTTCTCCCTTTCTATCTACATAGTTTCATCTGACAGGAACAGATCAGCTCTGCTATTGCTCTGATAAGAGCAGAAACCTTGCTTTTGTGGTGGGGTGCCTTATCACCCAGAGAAGGTCCATTTAACCTAAGGCTGAAGGCAGATTAAGTTCTGAGCAGCAGAAGCTCTGGTCTGCCTGAAAGACTTCAAGGAGCCATACCCTAGATAACCTCAATTTTTTTCTGAGAAAGTCACCTCAGGGAAGCTTTTAGGGCATAACAATACCTGTCTTTGCATGATATCATATTAGGCAGCAGCATGCAGAAAGAGTCTGTACAGCCTCTCCTTTCCCCTCCTTTCTCCCATCTATGCTGAAATAACTTTGTGGGGCTACCCTGCATGTCAGACGTGGGTGGGCTAATACTGATTTAGAAATAAATCATTTTGAAAGGGACAGGAATCAGGCAACACTGTTCCAAAACACCTCATGCTAAGAAAGCATAACCTATCTCACTGCAGTCAAAGGAACTTAACAATTCTGTCGGCATGTCACACTGATTGTGGTCTAATTTAGGATGACAGACATGATTTGTTTCATTCACCTGAACACTGCTCCCTTATACAACAGATCAGCATGTAGTCTAGGTACCACCTGCATCTCAGCACCTCATGCCCAAAGCACTGCTTATTTCAGATTTATGGACAGGGCTGTGAACTTTCAGCCGCTCCAGCTGCTCCACAAAGGTGCCAACCACTGGCTGTAGGACATGGCAAACAGGTTGGAGTAAGAACACCATGAATTGTCATTTGCTGATCCAAAAGACATCATTCATTGTCGCCCCAAGCTACAACATCCAAAACCTAATGCAAAATGTCTCTTTTAGCAACAAGTATACAGACCATCACAGCAATTTCATGCTGTTCAAAGGGCAAAATTCATTGTTGAATGTGCTTTATTGCTTATAACTATGTTTGTTGAAAAGCACATTTAAAAGCCTTGATTATAAAAATTATATAAATCTACTCTGTGTTTAGCTTATAGCACTACTGCAGTAATAAAGTTCAAAGATACTCTTAACCAGTGTATTAACAATAGTTATCTACACTGTGAGAGTTCCTTCATGAGAAGGAAATCAGAGTCTATTGTGCACTCTTCACTTCATTATTGAAATGCTGAGAAAAGGGAGCATTATAATTCAGCGCTGGATTACTTACCCCAGTAAGGATCATATAATGGTGAAAAACCCAACAAACGTACACATTTCTGAATGCAGCTCCTTAGCCAGACCCACCCAGGTAAACTCACCAAAAACCTGTTGTGAAATGTCAGCCCTGAAGGCATGCCTGGCAGTTGTGCTAGCTTGCTCTGGGCTCAGAATGCCCCTAGGTTCACACAACAGTTGGCTATAAAAATTCTGCTTAAGCCATTTTTAATGGATAATGGGATTACTGACTAAAAAAACCTGCTTGCAAAAAGAGATTCATGCAAAAGCTAAGGTATTTTGCCAAAAAAGAAGTATCCCAAAGTGAAAGTATTTAAAGTGAAAACTGAAACCATTTATTCAAAAAGGCAACAGTGTTATTCCTAGAGTTCTACATCAAACTGCTTCTGCTCCCATTCTTCTCTTGGGAGTTTGGCTTCCTGGCCAAAATCCACTTTATGATGCACCACAGATAAATTATTCCACAGCTTATGTCCGTTGAAAGGTGCTACTCCCTTTGGAGATGTGCTGCCCTTGGGGGAAAAAGCATAAAGGCATTACAACTCTGACTGAAATGGAAATATTTACCTTCCACCGGGAGGAAGAAGGTATTTTGTCATCACCCTCCCTCTGCCCCCAAACTATAACAGAAGCTTACAATTAAGAATAGATTCCCCCCCCCCCCCCCCCAAGTTTCCTTAAGTTTTCCAAAACCAGCCCTCACCAAAGTCTGTATTGGAGCTTTTCAGAAGATAAAGGAGAACAGTTATGAACACAATTCACTCTCATTATTATGAGCACAACACTGGATATGTCCTACACTGAACAAGCCTCCTGTGAACTTGGTAGTCAAATAAGGTGCCATCAGAGACTGGGAAGCTTTAAAACAGATGAGGACAATGGCCCATGATGAACAGTGAAATGGAAATGTTACCATGTACTTCCTTCTAAGCTAATGGGCAGCACAAATTACAACAGAGAAGCTCATATGGGCCTGAGCTGTATTCTTGGGTTATTGCTGATATGAACACAGCATGGCCACATCAACTACGGTGGTTCTTCTGAAGTTCACTGTTCTTGCCCCTTCTAACTTGGACTAGATATTCTTAAACTGTTGCTACCAGTTCAGCTAACTTCAGACATCTACACTGTACACCTCCAGCATATTCTTCTCAATTGCTCTCGTATTCAGAGAGAAAACCCTTCACTCTCAGATTATGCCCATCTCACTCTAAAGTAGATTTATTTCTCCCTATCAACTGCAGAAGTACCCTAGATTAACCGAGAGGGCTGTATAATAAGTGTGTTCAGTCAGGGAAGATGACTACCACAGTGCCACTCTCATGCACACTTTCTGTGGGAGATGCATCTGGGAACTGCAGGCATTACTGTAACCTAAATACTAGTATCCAGAAATTTCTGTGTATTCCTATGAAGCTTCATTTACTTTTGAGCTAGCAAAGAGAGTGTAACCACAAATAAATTATTAGCCGTCTAAAAAAGGAAGAAACAACAAATGCCTTTCCCCCAGCCTGAGGATAAAAATGGCTCCTCTCTTTGAAGAGCAATGAATTCTCCAAAACCATAGCAATTCAATTAGAATTAAATATATGGTGCAGTGACTCAGAGAATGAGCAAAGGGCCAGCAATCAGGGAACACAGATGAGGCAGAAAGCACAAAAAGGTGCTCACTTTTCCTCCCACCACTGAGATGATCTCCACAGCCACCAAGCAATTACCTAGTCTGCTCAGTTATAGGGGAAAAAAAACAGGCAACTTTAGCAATATATAGCGATAAATTTAGGACAAATTTTTTAGGTAAGCTGGAAAGTGCTTCCCATGTTGCAAACCTTCAGAATATTTTAATGAAGCTAATTCCAAACAGGCAAATAAATCATGCCGCCACTAAAGGTTTATTCTGAAAACTACAACCCACCATGACTATTATTGTTCCAAATACGACCCAGACTCACAAAACCCATTAGAGCACATCTTTGGTTCTCACAAAGTCTGAACTGGGTTGGCAATTGCCACCCCACCTTCAGAGAAAAGCTTTCTTATGTTACCAATGATATGCTCTGCTACCTGTGGTAGGCAACCAGTCTTGTGTCACATAACACAAATATCCTGCCTCATCTTTGTGGCAAAGAGTACTGCAGAATTAATCAATATCTATCCTCACATTACAGTGACAATTAATAATGCATCACATGAAGCCCTGCAACCTGAGTCACTATGACAATATCCTAGCATAGGATTCCCATTTCTCTCACTGATGGTCCTCAGCATTCATCGTCAAGGTACCCTGTAGTTAAAGATATCTAAAAATAGCAGCAGAGAAAATGCTGTGCAATTTGAAGTGAATGCTCCTGAATGGGGACAGAGGGCAAATGGGATTAATCAAGCTGCAGTGGAATGGGGTGGGGGGGGGGGGAAAGAATTAACTTAGGGTTGAATTTGCAGAATCTTTTCATTCATTGCTCTGCTCAGTTTATCACCTGTCCTTACAAGAAGAAAACCATATTTATACTATTTAACAGGTTTCCTTTGATTTGTGTGTGTGTGTGTGTTGGGGCTAAATAAATGTTCACTTCTCCATCTCCTCATTTCTGGCCCACCACCTCCTTCTTCCTATTCCCAGAAGCTCTGCATTGCCCACCTGTAGAGTCAAAGCCATGACAACAGCACCCAACCTGTTGATCTCTGACTCCTTTTTGCTGACCTTCCCAAAGCACAGGACTGCACTGATGGGGTTACCTTTAAACACACAACCTCAGATGCAGCTGCCATTTAAGTTTTGCACAATTCCCAGAAACCTGGGAAAAACAAAGATAGCATGTGGTCTTTTAAAAGATTATGCTGAAGAAATGAAAAATCCAAGGATGATGAAATAGATTGTTAAATCAAGAGACAGTTTAAGTTTCAATTCTTATTTCCCTTGTACGCCACACTTCAAAAACTAAACAAGAACAGAAGAAAACTTTCTTTTTATAGGACAAATACTCAGTAAACTGCTTCCTTCATCCCTTTTTCCTTCAATATTTCTAACAAAGTGCTTCACCACTCAGAAACTATTTCAGATTGTGTGTTACAGTGGGATTTCCTATGAGGCATTTACAGCATTCAGCCTCTGGCTTTCTTATTAAATACTTGCTGGGACAATATCATACCATTCACTGGAATGTCTCAAGCCTGTATTTCTACATCCTATTGATACAGAGTAAGTTGCACATTTAACACCAAACTCATATACTCCTTAAAAAATATTTGCTAACAATGCTATGTGAGGGAAAACCACAATATTACACTTAACAGTATAAAAAGATGAAAATGTAAAAATATGACACATTATAGAAAACATGTGCATATATATATATGTATATTCAACTAGCAAAAAAGGTACCAAGTAAAAAAATCCTACTAATTGCTAGTGTAAGAGTGCCCTCTAGTAGAAAACTATGCTGCTTGTTTTGGGAAAATATATTACAAATTTAAATTCACAAGATGTGGTCTAATAACATGGCAAAACAGGTTTTACACAGCTAAATAATGAGTCCTATAGCATTCATTCAAGTGTCATGCAGAAAACAAATCTGTAGATAAAAAGAAAATGTACAAATAACACAGTAACAAGTAGCATGAAAACAGTATACGATGTTATACAGATCAGATGACCCCTCACTTCAGCATTACATTCATTTCAGGTCAAAATACCACACACCTTCTTTCCTGCCCTGATAAGACTGTAGTGACAGATGGAGCCCGAAGTCACGGACTAAATCTTAACAGATTATTTTACAGGGAAGGTCCATAGATTAAGGGAATTATATGTGTGTGTACATACAAAAAGACAAAAGGAAAGGTGATGGTGTATTGGACAGCATGGGACTTAGATATAAGAAGAAATTCCTTACTGTGAGGGTGTTGAGGTGCTGGCACAGGGTGCCCAGAGAAGCTGTGGCTGCCCCATCCCTGGCAGTGTTCAAGGCCAGGTTGGACACAGGGGCTTGGAACAAGCTGCTCTGGTGGAAGGTGTCCCTGCCCGTGGCAGTTGGGGTCAGAAATAGATAATCTGTAAAGGTGCCTTCCAACCCAAACCATTCTGTGATTTTAATGCTCTGCCAGTGAGGAGGTGCACAAGAGGCTGGGAGGGAGCACAGCCAAGACAGCTAACCCAAACTAGGAAAAGGGATATTCCATACCATAGAACAGCATGTTCAGCATATAAACTGGGGGAAGGTGGCTGATCATTGCCTGGGAACAGTCTCGGTATCGGTCAGCGGGTGGTGAGCATTTGTATTGTGCATCACTTGTCAGTCTTGGGTTTTATTTCTTTTGGTTGTCTCCATTTTCATTACAATTATTATCATTATGATTATTACAATACTTTATTTCCATTATTAAACTATTCTTATCTCAACACCCAGGTTTTACCTTTTTTCTCCCCCTAATTCTCCTCCCCATCCCACCAGGGGACAGGAGGGTTAGCAAGTGGCTGTCAGCTACTTAGCTGCTGGCTGGGATTAAACCACTACAGTCAGAAATAGAAGAAAAAACCAGAAGATCTGAAATAAAAATGTTGCTTTCAAGAAGCTGAAAGGGAGTGGCTGTTTATTCAAAAATCAAGATGAAAGATACAGAATCAAAGTAGGGTATACACCAGTGAGAAGAGGAAAACAGAAAATTCTGTGAGATATTTCTCATAACACAGGGCAACTGGACATTTAACAAGGCTGACAATCATGAAGTTTAAAACACAAAAAGAACAGCTTTCAAAAATATGCAGCTTATAGACTCTACCTTTGTGATACCGTAACAGTATGATGACCATAATGATGGATACCATCAAGGCTAGTGAAGACATATTTCCAGTAATGAAATGGTTTTATATCCCTGTATTTTTAAAGCAATCTAAGCATATTAGCTATGTAATGTTTGAAAACAGTTCCTTCTGAGAAAGCTGATTAACCATGCAGCATACAACATAGCATGCCTCTTGCTCTTGAGAAGCATTTGATACTACTCAAAGACGGCAGTTTTGGACTGGACTTTGTGAAAAATACTACAAAGCTTTTTATGTCTCATGCATACCCCCAAAATACAAAAATATAGGCAAATTCAGTATAGGCTAATTTGGTGTTATACCTCTGCATAGCACCAAGATGTGCCTACCCAGGCTGGTGTCTGCACAGGGGTCTTTACAGTGTGCTGTGTGCATGACACAGCAATGCCCTTTGTGTCAAACAAACCCATGGCCTGGACCAAGCATGTTGTTGCTTATCAGTGTCTTTCACATACAGGAACAAAGTACTGCAGCCAAATGTTTGCTTCATTAAACATAACTGATACATATAAAAATTAAATAGATGTAGGAACCAAGCATCTGCACAAGCCAATAGCAGGCAGTTGTATGGACTTTTTAGGAAAGACTTTTTAAAACACAGCCTATTCAAAGAAATTCTGTTTTGCCTTGCATGACTGTACACAGAACTCATAGTCCCAGCAAGTACAGGGGCACAATTCTTTATTCAGGAGTGTGCAAATATGGACTTGAAAAAAAAAACAACCCATAACTGAATACAGTGAGGAATATCAACACATGGAAATGGACACAGGTGATTTAAGGATAGATCGAAAGAGATAAAAACCAGAGCTACTTGCAAACCTGGAAAATCTGTCAAGAGTCTGAAAATGCTGAAGCAGTAATGAAATGTGGAACAGAAAAGGGAGAGTGAAAGGTGAGGAGGGACACAGTGCAACACTTGTTGCTCAGGACCTCAGTGACCCAATGTAGCCATCAGGTTTACCAAGCCACGGGGTTCAGGGAGAGACACTGAAGCAGAATGCTAATCACAACCTGGTTTAAAACAAAACCACAACACAAAACAAAGAAAAAAAAACCCAAACAAAAGAAAGGGTACTTGCCATTCACTGAAAGACTAATTATCACGTAGGGAGAACTTGTGCTCTCCCAGCAGCAGAAAGACTGTATATCCACAGTGTCCAACTCCAACATTCACATAGGGCATTTGGTGTTACACAGCTAAATGTCAGAAATGAACATGCACTACCAATCACTGAAGCCTGAGCTCATGCTTAAAGAGCAGATGAAGTAATTAGCCAGTCAAGAAACAAGACAGATGAAGAATAGCAGATGACTGCCAGCAGACAAGTGCATGACGTACATCGCTCTCCACAACAAAGAGAGGAGCCATAGTCCACTAAATTCACTGAATGCAGTGTGCTGGATGACCTTACCCTATCTGCATAAACCAACCTTGCTATATGCAATACTGCTTCAGTGAAAAGAACCCAAATGACTGTCTGACCTTTAATTAAATTGCATGACTGTACAGTGATACCGCTTTGCTTGCAATGACCGTCACTGGATAAGTCAACCGCAGCCACTAAACTCAGTATCCTGCAGCAGTAAATTTCTCAGGATTGTATTTTCAGAAATGAAACAAAAAGGAAACTCTAAAGAATATTCCCCTCCTCATCTTTAAACTAAAATGTCTTAGATGCCAGAAATCAAAAGTCAAAGAGCAGAACTAAGAAAAACATAGTTAAGTGCTCTTTATTTAGCACAGATAACTCAGAAGAGGTAACTGAAAATATATAAACCGTTCAGTGAGCATCTTTTAGTGTGACAGTGCCACATCCTCATATTTATTTTGTACTTCTCCACTGACCAGATGCAGAATTCTGCTTACCGAATTGTCTTTCAGCTGGAGACCTTCTCCATTGGGCAGCGATGATCTCCGTTTTGAAGAGTTCTTGTTCGGTGTAGAATTAGCTCCTCCAGCTTTCTTCTTGACAAAGAGGACTTCACAACTGGCTTGATCTTCATTGTGCGTGCTCTTCCCTGCATTTATTACCCTAAGAGAAAACAACAAAAGCCAACAGAGGACATGTCCAAGTTAGCAAAGCACAGAAGCATCCATCTGTATCTCACGTGACTCCAGATGTATGGAACTGTAGCGCAGAAGTACTACAAATACAAACTGAATGAAAATCTCCAACTTTCTTACACACCTACATACACATACAATCACACATGCATGCTTTGTTTCTATACACCTACACGTGGCATAACAAGCATTTTTCAGGGAACTATGTCAACAAGAAACAATGGCACCATGAGCATATTTTACCTGCAGGCATACCACACTTTTCTTTAAAGGAACTACTTGATGGTCAAAGCTGATAAACTTGTGCCTCCCAGCTGTAACATGAGAGCCCCACTTGCTTTTCTACCTGCCAGCCTCTCTGCGACAGTGAATAATTAGTCTGCTGGCTAAGGGTGTGCATTCTGTCAAGTTCTAAGTCTTGCACAAACAAAAGACCTGCTATAAATCTAAAAAGTTGTTACTGCTTAAGGCACAGAAAAATATGCACTGCTATTATGTTTTAAAAGCAGGTATTAGAAACACTGTGACAGAAACAGAAAGTCTTTGCCTTGTATACCAACATGCAAATCAAGCATGCTTGTACCACAGTAACAGAGAGATGCATACTAAATGCACCCCTCTGCTACTGCAGAACAACATAACCCGCCTTCCTTTGATCCCCAAAACAAACCCCAAAACAACAAAACTCAAACCCTTATGCCTCTGTCCCAGCTGCAGTGTAGAGAGCAGCAGACCTACATCAAGAGTTGCAGGCATGAAACTCTGGCACTAAGAGCTCAGTACTAGCTCTGGACAGCCAAAGGTATCCAGAGACTTGCACCACAACTGCTCATCTTTGTGATGAAGCTAAAATAACAGGTACTCCACCACCACCATTTTAAAAACATAATCAGAAGTTTGCATTATCCAATTATTGTGGTTATTATCATCTACCTCAGACCAGACAAGTTCAAACACTCTTTCTACATGGGAACCTCATCACAAGCTGACTAATTTTGCATTGGTTGACACCATGTTGAGTAAGACACGTGCTTTGACAGTCCTGGGCTCACACAGGGAAAACCTGTGTAAGCCGGGACCATAACTTATTCTAACCAAGTAAAAACGTTTCCACTTTGATGCAAGCATGTCTTCTTTCACAAATATCACCTAACCACTCCTCTTTACTACTAGGTTTGAGCCAACAAGTTGACTGCTAGTCAGAGACCACATTTCCACTGCTGGACAAACACCAAGTTTCACATCAGGCACACAATGCCTTTAGAAACAACTGCGGCCTCTCCAGATAGTAAAACAGCTTGGAGGCACATCACAATCCTGATAGAAAGTTCAAGACATACCTGACTTCTTGATCTCTAATGTTTTCATTGCAGTAACATTTTACATAACAAGAAAACGCTGAAGACTGTTGAAAGGAAAACAAAAACCAAAGGAAGGCTTGCAGGGCACTCTGCCCCAGCTTGCCTGCTCTTGATGAAATGTCAATTCTGTGTCAGCTTTGCTTAAAGGTAATATATTCTTTTGATTCCCAAGGAGCAATATGATACTGTGACAAATGAGCATTCCTACCTCTGATTAGAAAAATCAATCTTCTAAGAAAACATGCATCCACTATAATTAACTGCTTTCAAATACTGAAAGCTTCCTTACAGTGCCCAATGTCACTCACTGCAGCCCGATACCTGCATGCACAATCCCACCACTTGGTTACAAGTATTTCTTGTAAATAAACACCAACTGCGAGTAAAATTATTTTGTGAAACACAGAGAGCAGGGATGAAGGAGCATCTAGTTGCAAGGCCCTTGGGAGCAGTTTATCCACTTCACCCCCTGTTGTGCCTAACCTTTGAGCAACTGGAGATCAAACACTGAGATGCTATAAGCTTCCAGTCTGAAAACTCGACATTTTCCTGACATTAGGAAAAATAGAAGCATGTATTCAGAAAGGGGGTAGAGGGGAAGGGAGGAGAAAATCACAAATACCAAAGCATTTAAACACTGCAGCAGCACAGAAAGTGTAGTTTTATCACATCAGGAACTAATCAATACTCAGTTTAGCTGACCAGCCTCCTCACTGATGCTGCTGTTTTCAATCCCATTTAAAAAAAAAGTGGAAGACACATAGAGAAAAAAGTGATTCCTTACAAAAATTGCTGCCTTCCTACTACTTATTGTTCCTAATGAAAATCACTCAACTGTTGGAACTGCTCTGGTTTCTGAGCTTAGTAATGGACTTCAGGACTTGTATGGTAGGAGATGTTCTGATGTTTAACAGTGCGTTAAGTTATGCACAATATGGTATCATTTTACAAAGCACTTGCCAAGAAGATTTGTCAAGGCACTGAATACATTAGAAAAGCTATGAGAACAAGGTGACCTAGCAGACTAGGTTGGGAGTCAGCTACAATGAAAGACCTGAGGTTGAGCCTGCGTACTGAGCACCTTGCTAGAAAAGAATGTGATTGAGAGGAGCATGGCAAGACTGAATACTGAGAAGCTGTGGGAGTTGGAATGTCAGTGTATTGAGGTGGCAGTACTGGGGCTGTGAACATGTTCCCTCCCAGAATTTCACATTATCTCCCAAGATTCCAGATTTTCTCTCTCCACCAGAGAATTAAGTTTATTTTGGAAATCCTTGTTAAGACCTGAACTAATCATAATGTCAAAACAGTGCTTACGAGTGCTTGTGAGATGGGAAGTGAGTAGAAGAGAGCCTATGTCAGACAGCCTTTGTCATCTAAACCCTCCACTCTTCTACTCTCACATCCCATCTCATAGCCAAACTTTAGAGAAGGGCTGCAGTGAAGCCCTGTGATTTTTAATCTCAAAGTTGGAGCTATGTGTTGATGCTTGATGCCAAGCACAGAAGCTGGTAACACCTTCTACTCAGCTTTAAAATCTGTCTTTGGTGCCTTTTGAAATCCTTTTCTCTCTGCAGCTTTTTAAGTCCCTCCTCGAGGCAATTCTTTCAAACAGCTTTCCAATGCTGATTTCACTGTTGTCTTTCCTCCTTGCTCTCCCAGACTTTAACTTATCAGGACAAAAACCACATCTAAGCTGCTTATACAAATAACAAAGCAGAACTAAGGAGATATTCACATCTCCAAAAGGTAACTCTTAATTAGACCTATGAACATTTTGATGGAAAATCTACCACCCCCCTCCTTCGCTGAGGAAGTGCCTCAGCTTCCTAAGATTTTCAGTTTCCCTTCGGATCTCCTTTTCTGTCTGCCTCCAAGTGTTATCCTCCAGTAAAGTAAACAGGAGACAAAGCAACACCTCCTCACACACAGTTAAAAACAACCCCTCCTCCACCAAAAACCTTCTAACCATATAGTTGTCCTCACTTCCAGTTGACCATGGATGCTAATAATAACAGTAATAATAATAATTAAAATAGATCATTACATTATATAAATATAATAATATGCAGGGAAAAAGGAAATAAAAAATGATTGAGGCCTATATAATTTCCTAGCTTTTATTCAGAGACATGTTTTCAAGGGAATTTTTGCTTTTGTTTTCTCTCCCCCTAATTCCTCAAGGAGCTGTTTGATTAGACCTATTCACGATCAACTCCTTTCCATCCCTTCCCCCCTCTCTCCCACTACCCATTCATGTCATACCCAATCTTTCACAAAGTTCAACCCAAGTAATGTATCCAATTTGGATCAGAAGCTCCTCTTTTTACAGGATTAGCTGTCTCTACACTGCTCAGTGTCAAACACACTGCTCAGTAATAAATATATAATCCTAAGGTTTAGTTCATGGTATAGTAATGCTAGAAAAAATATACACCCTACTTTGCAAACAGGAGCTTCCTGAAGCCTGCACAGGGAGGTGGTGGGGCTTGGTCACACCTCAAGAGTTACTCGCATCAGCCTTGATGGACACTTCAATACTTCATGAGACTAATCTCAAACATGTCCTCAGCTTAAAGCAAATCTTCCAGATGGAAGCCAGCTAGTTTGTTTGGCTCACAATTAGCATTCTGCTGGTATCTCGCGAGACCCCACATCCCATTAGACTGAATAGAAATGTAGGTCACACTGTGCTTCTATTCTTCATTCATCAAGCAGAGCTCTGAAACTCCTCTGCCAAGGTCACCGATTACAAAATACCAAGTTTATCTTACAAGAACCAGAACAGGCCAGTTGAACAAATCCAAACCGGGTTCTGATAACAGCTTCCTGACAAAAAACCCGAAAACCAGACAAACCAAAAAGCCTCCAAAGTCAGCTCAAGTCTTTTGAAGCATTTATATTCAGCCCTCTTTTTTTTCACATAGGTATCAGTAGTTATCAGTACATATACTTGTTGGTTGCTCTGCTCCTCCCTATATGGTATTCTTTGTGATTAGATGAAGTTGTGTTTGCTTCAGCAAAAGTTCAAAGCTGTGCTAGGGCTAGGTCTCCAATTCTGAACAAATTTGAAGTAGTCATCCGAGTACTTATATTGTTTAAACTCACAAGTCTATAGTATTCTCTACCTAACATACCTAAAGTAACAGGTAAAGGCCAAAAGCTCAGCAGAAAGCATGCACAACCGCAGTGAGAAGTACTTTTTGAAATGTAAGGGCTAGGAGAGCTACAAGAGCTCGGGGAGCTGTGTTACAGCAGGGTAAGTGTGGGAGCTGGCCGCACACACACTCCAGACCTACCCAAACTAAGAAATAAAACCTGTAAAAGCAGAGAGCCTGACCCACCCCCTCAGTTTAGTTGAGCTGTAGGGTAACTGACAACCACCTGCAACCATAGGACACCCCAAAATCTATCTGCTTCTCCCCTACCAAGGCAAAGTTCTTCTCCACAGTAGTAGAGAGCATTCCCAGTTCCACTTCCTTTGTAAGACTTGTTAAGAGGGTCAAGACACCCTGACGCAAACACTTCCAGAGCAAACGTCTGCGAAGCCTGCTTTTGTACCACGTAGATTAAGGCTGAGTCTGTCTGTGTTATCTGTGCAGCCCAC